TAAAAAAAAATTGTTTATTCTATATTTTCGACTTCTTTTTTCGCGTAGAACCACCCCCTTTCCGCTTGTACCATAAATTACCAACCACCCTGTATAAATTAAATTTAATTAATAATTCGTTCAGTTGAGAGAAAATAAAGTTTCCACCCTCCGCGAAGGAGTTATTTATCTTACGTATTAAGTTTCCGTTCGAAGTCGAATAGCGCGACATTTTTAGAAGGAGGATTCAACTTTTCAAAATGCAATTGAATTTGAAAGGGACGGAACCGTTCTGCAATTTGGCTGGATCGTTGTCGAACAGTTGGATCGGAAAGCGAAATCCTGCGCCGATTCCGATCCATTAAACGCGATTGTGCGCGGGAAACGAGGCGAGCCGTGGGGCGCGGAAATTTGTTTAATTTATATTTAAACGCGCGCAGCTGAATCCCGCGACATTTAGATCAATGGCTGCGTTAAATAGAAGATGTAATTGGTAGCCCTCGAAAATGGTGTCATGATACGCGTCACTATCTTGGAGAGGTCAGTTGCGTTTATAACCACCTTTACGACCTTTACGTAACAAAAATAACGCCACCATGCTGTTTATAGAGGCCGGCGTTCTTCCACTATCTGACGTTATTCTCCATGGAAATTGTATATTTTTCCGACGGAGGTACGTCCGGTGAAAATCACAGCGATGTTGTGAATCGTTTAGATTCGAGGATCAAAGTTCCACTCGATCCGAGTTAATAATCTTCGTGCCGTTGATTTTCCAACGAAAATAGCCTAACCACGGAAAAATGATAGCGTTGCAAGCAGTTCGACCAACTGTAATTTATATTCATCAAGTTGGAAGTCGAATGAATGATAGTTAGTTTAGTATTCTCGGTAAACTCGGAGCAAACTTTTTCCTCGGCTACTCGGCTATTCATCGTGTATTAATTAAGCTTCCCTAAAGCTAAAAGTTCTTCGCTTTTCGTCGTTAAACGCACTCGTTCTCCGATAATTTGAATCTTATTCTTAGTCGTTTAATAATCCAGAATCTCGTCAGCTTGCGAAACGATCGTTTCCCCTAACCGGCCATCACGCTTCGACTTCGCAAACAGACAGAAAGTCTGTTTTTTCTTTGCATCTGAGCTTTCTTACGAATCGAGTAGAGACACAAGAAGAGATTGATCGAACAAAGCGTGGTATTACCTTGCCGAACCACAGCTCCCTTTTGTCCGTTGATCAAAGTGGAGCACGTATCCTTGCTCCAGTATGTGACAAAGAACCGTCTAAGTTGTCGCTTTGAAACAAAGTTGGGAAACACACACAACCGCGTTTCCCTCGGCTGTCTATCTCAAACGTTCTCATCGAGACGCTCAAAGTCTTGATCAATAGCCGCTCGCAATTTCTCCTATCATCCGGCTGGCTCATCTTCCACTAACGAACGAATCTGTCCGAGGTACTGGGCCTGTCCAAAGAATTCCGACGAAGGATTTTCTTTGAGTCGCCACCAGATTCGCGCATTCGTCGATCCACAGACCAATCGCATTTCCTTCTATCGAAAGACGTATAGACGAGATCCTTCGGGGAAAATAATGGAAGGTGCAAGTTAAAGGGTATGTTTTGTCGGTTGGATATCCAGCCCCCCGTGGAACGGCTCGTTTTATTTCTACGCTCGGCTGGTGCTCACGGGGACGAAAATAAGAGGCTCTGACGCGATAAGGACGAGTTTAATCCGGGAAACGACAGAGACGCTAGTCTATTCGGAAATACAGACGCGAATAAAGCTGCGGTAGGTCCGCGGTAGTCTGCCTCGTTCACGAGTACAGTCCTTTTTCGTTCCTTTTTCCTCGTTTTCCTCATCCCTTTTAGCCCATTTTCTCCCTAGCCTTCGTTATAGCCGACGCGCGGAATATTTTTCACGCCTCGCTGCAGGAATAAACATCTGCCTTCCTGTTCTCCCGCTATCCGCGTAAAATAATCCGAATTTTTCGGGTCGCGTACGATCCGTCACAACTAGTTGCGATTCATGAAATTTAAATATTTGCAACGGGCTGCGCGTTATCGAACGACGCGAACGTGCATACGAATGTTAACGCAGCCATCTCGTGGCTTTTCATCGCGAGACTCGCTAATGTTAGATTCGAAATCGTCGGCACGTTTCCTCGCTCGTTTAGTCGATAGACCGTCTATCGACAAGGAAACGCCAATCAATAGATACGTTCGGTGCACCGAAAAGGAATACCGTGCGAATGCACGTCGTAGATAACGATCGCATACAGACCATCTGCTCGCAATAGCCGTTTCAAAGCTGATGCTATGCGTCTTCTTGGACGTTTTAACTTTCGCCTCCGCTGGACAACGGTAACGTGCTTGGTCGATCTGACCTTTTAACTAGAATTTATCGACGCAAACGCATCGTGTTATCGATTTTTCGCAAAGAGAATGCCAGTAACGCGAAGGACGAACATCAGGTGGAACGAGAACCGAGATGCACGAGTTTTCATTCTGCGACATCGGTTCTTGCACGCGAAAGACGTTAAAGGTTTCGACACCCGATCGTTCAATCTCTATCGTGAACGATGGATGAAACGTTTCCACGACGGTAATACGTAGGGAGAGTCGGAGAATAGAAAGAAACGAGAGGTTATCGAGCGATCTCGACGTCAATTCCGCGTGAGTCAACCTCTTTTCACCTACGCGGAGAAGATTCGATCTCGTGCAATCGAACAACCGCGCGATCTCTTCTGGAAAACCACTCGGAGAGGAGCTGAAATGGGCCTTTTCGAACCTCGGTTCGGCTAGGTCAGACACTCGTGCGACAGATTCTCTATCGTTCTCGATCGATTCTCACTACGAGGTTAGGAACTGCTCTATTTTTGCGATTGAACTTTATAGACGCTTGCTTCAAGTTGATTAGCCCTTTTTTCATTCTATCCTTAACCGATCGATTATCAATAAATCCCACGAGTGCCCTTAGAGATTTATAGTTCACTCGTATCTAGGGCTTTTTAACTCAATCTCATTAACCTGTGAGTAACTTGGAACGTTGATGAAGTCGTCACGGAGCTTCGGCTCGTAGTTCGAGGTGTGCATTTCCGTCGTGATTGCGGCCGAAATCGTAACGGAAATAACCAGGACACGCGGCTAACAACGAGCGTTCGCGTAAATGCGTGCTTTCCCTCTGGCTATGTAATTCGAGCGGAGAAACAACTTGCGACATGGTCTCAGCAATACTCGGCGGGCCAAAGTTTGGCCGGCAACAATGGCACTCGTTGGAAATGGCCTCGGCGCGATTCCTCTGCGTCAACACGCGAACACGTTCGCCACGTTTGCTCTCAGAACTATTTTTCTCCGTGCTCTCTATTTCTTTTCCTACCTCTACTACGTTTTATTGTCCATTCTAAGTTACTTTTCAAACTTCCACCTAAAGTCCGCTGGAGAAGAACGATACGACGTCGTTGCGATTTCGCGGCGGTGACGCTATTGCGATTCACTAGCATCGTATTTCTTAATGGTATAATGCTCGGGAACGTAGACCTCTATTATTGAAATTATAACGATATTGCGTCGCACTTTATTATTAGGGAAATTTTACAAGCCACAATTTACAAGTGTCTTAACAACAAATATTAATAAATACCCTGGCATAATATTAACAAGTTTGTTAATGGAACAAACGAAATTTCATGAATTAGAAATTATCGGATTATCCTATATACGACGAAAAATTACAAAATTGCGAAGATGGAATCTATAATGCACAACTTGTAACTCGTTAATTTAATATTATTAGTTCGTAAATTATATGGAGCAAGAGGGGATCTGAACTAATACTGCAGTAATTGCGTTATATTAACGTTGAAAAGAACAGCGAGTTCCCTCGTAGCATAATGGATGCATTCAAGGCGAACGAACAGCGTAGCTCGAACAGCACGCGGTTGTCTGACAAGTCACGTTTCCGATCTACTGTGGTTACATGGCAGCGCGTACAATCTGTTCGACACGACGAACAACTTTGACGGGAGTAAACATTTTTAAGAAAAGTAGATTTTCCTTAATGAAAGGAAGTATAATATATATAACGAGCATGATACACAATTCACATACTGTATGGTATCACGTAACGTTATGTAGCGACGTGCATAATCTAGTTAATCGCGTGAGCATCCGATTTAGAACGGATACGTCTTCCAAACAAGGCAAGTAACGTTCATTTGAGGACTAGAGAAAATATAGGATTACGAATTTGCGTGGAAAGGGGATCCGTGGAATTTATAGGTAACAAGATATCGATGGAACGCGCGTCGTGAATTATAAAAGTTGAAACAAGGAGGATCGAAACTTTCGACGGCAAATTACGAGGCTGTAAACTTACCGGCAGCGGCTCTATCCTGCCTGGTGTATATGTAGCTTCGAGCAAACCTAGAAAACTCTATCCTTGATCTAAAAAAACTTGCGGCGCTACATTAAATAGACGAGTCTATTCTCTTATTGTTCCAACACGAAGGGGGAATAGCATGTTAACGTTACGTTTTCATGTATTAAATACGAAGTAACGAGAATTATACCGAACCATGGGGCAAGAATAGCGCAACAACGGTGTAAACGTACGAGCATTCTTTCAACTCTTTACCGATTCTCACAGAAGATTCTCTCGTTTTTCCATCGTAGCTGCTAAAGATTTCAGAATTCACAAGACACATTTCACAACGCACGTTCTTGCTACGTTCAGCTAAATCTGCACCTGCATTCTCTCAATCTCTCGTCGCTTGTGTCCATCTTCTAGCCGAAACACGCACCCGATACTCAATCACTCGTTCACGCGAATTCTCACACCCACGCTACAAACGATATTTCTATCATGCCTGTTTTCTACTTATTTTTAAACACAATCCTGCCTCCTCTCCGTCTTCTCCCGATCGTACCGTGTTTCTCTCATTCGACATTCAACCTACGTTATACAACGAAATATTGCTCACACATATTAGTTCTGCAGAATACCAAGGAAACGACGAACTTTTTTGTTGCAGGATCGCGAGTTCGTGGAGATGGAGGTACCCTACAATGGTGCCCCGAAGAGGCCGGGCTCGCCGTCGCCCCTGACCTC